CTCGGGTAATTTGAGCCCCAGAAAGATTGCTGCCAGTTGGGCTCGGCGATGTCGGCCTCATTTCCATAGGCGCCGCCAGCGGGCGACACTTCACGAAGAGGAGCCATGACCTGAGTGGTGATCTTTTCGACGGCCGCCTGCCATCCCGCGGCGGTTTCCTCAGCGACCGAATTGATGATGACCATCTGGCTCTCTTCGTTTCGGAACGCTGGATTGACGGAGTTGATGTCCTTGTTGTCCTGTTCGACGGGGCGCTGATGGTACATGTTGATCATGACGGCGGTCTCGACGACGTGCTGGATGGCGACCATCGTTTGGTTGCGTATCTCAGCGTTCTCCCAATTGTCGGATGTCAACAAACGGTTCGACGCAATACCGGTAGCGGCACCAATATGATAGTTGAATGTACCGAATGTGGCCTTGTAGGCAGGGTAGAAGCTGTCGTGGTAGGTTGTCTTGGGATTGAGCTCAATACCAAGTGAGGCGCACTTTTCGTAAAAGGGCTTGATGAGAGCCTCGTACTCCTCGACAGTCTTGTCCGTGGCAAAGAAAGGACCCATCGACCACATATACATGCCTGGTGCGAGCTTCATGAGCGAGAAGTAAGAGTATGTTTTCGCGCGGTTGTAGGCGGGCATGTTGTCGAAGAAGAACCTAAACGCTTCCCAGAACTTTTCGGCAGTAACAGTCTCGGATGTCATGATGGTCCAGGAGGACTGAGTGACTGGAACCTTGCGGTGGACCTTCACTACAGCAGAGGTGATCACGCCGTAGGTACCGCCACCGCCGCCAAGCATAGCCCAATACAGATCACCGTTGATCTCCGGAGTAACGGTAACGAACCGGCCGCTGGCAAGGACAACTTCGAGAGCGATGATCTGATCCGAGCCGACACCAAACAACTGCATCAGGGGACTGTGGCCACCGCCCGTGGAGTAGCCACCAGTTACACCGACGGTCGGACAGATACCGGCGATGGCGGAGACACCATACTTATCGGCAGCCTCATAGAGCTCGAAGCCTTGAACGCCCGCGCCGACTTTGAAGACTGGTCCGTTGTACATGGAGCTTTTGTAGTCTTTGACATACTTGATCTCCTTGAGGCCATGAGTCCAGATGCTGAGCGCCCCCTTGCCAACCGAGCGACCGTTATAATCATGTCCAGTGTTGCGCACAACCAAGCGAAGGTTCAGGGTACGAGCAAAGTTGACAGCCAGCTGAATCTGCGCAACGTTGCTAACTTTCACTGCGTATTCTGAGTATCCTCCCTGTGTGCAAGTGCCATTGGCGAAATTGCCTGTAGTAGGAATGGGGCATGTCATTCCATACCACAGGGGATTCATCAGCGCACCATTGTCGTTGTAGCTACTCCTGTCAGTCTAAGTGCCATTGTGCTCATAAGTATTATCACTTACTAAATCTCTTCCGAATCGAAATTCTCGACGAGGTCTGCGCACTTTGCGGGGTCGTAGTTGTTGTACTCGGACGTCTTGTAGCAAGAAGAGCCTATAGGTACGATCTTCTCTAAAGCACCACCGAGTAGGAGGTCGAACACCCCCCACAAAAGCTTTCCTGGATACAAGAGATCGCCAGGCATCGTCTTGCATCGGAGTGATCGTCGCGCACGGCGAGTACGCGTAGATAAGCTTGAATTGGAGCTGTCCTCAAACTCTAAGAGGGAAGCATACTCAGCAAGCTCTGCGCTCTGTTGCATCGAGGAGACAACATCGTCAGTCAGCTGTACGGCTTCCACTCCAAAAAGAGCGAGGTTGGCAGGCGTGACATAGGTAGCGAGAGTCTCAGCAGCAGGTGGGACGGAAAATGCGAGTGTGGCGCTCTGTGCCGCCGTGAAACCGGCATAGGCCAAAGAGAACGTTATGGACCTCGCCAACATGTTGGAAGAGGAACCTTGCAGTTGAAACGGGGGTAGTAGCGGCTGGATGAAGAGTCCTTGGCTGCCACGTTCCTGTACCGAACGCAAGGTTTTATACGAATTCCCTCATAACGCACAGGTGGCGGCGCATCAGTAATCTTGGTCGAGCCCATCTGCCGCTCACTCGGGGACTGTCTTCCCACTTGAGCATCGGCATGAAAAAGTGGGGTGAGATACGGCGAGGCCATCTCGTCTAGAGTCTAAAGTTGGTATGGGATTTAATCCTGTGCACCCGCCCAGAGAAATCGAAGACGCGAAGGATGGTAATTCCAATCTCGCGCCCACGCCTCATCCGTACAGCTCATGCGCTTTTTATTAAGGAGCGAAGAGGGTCTAGACTTCCAGGACCATGAACATGTCACGTTGGCCGAGTCGCGGTTAGTTGTTCCGCGGCGATCACACCATTGAGCGATGGACATTCGAACAGGCTTCACCAGCCGATACATCGAGGTACGGACCGCTAAGGAGGCGTCCCGCGCATCCGCCTCTGCTTTGGAGCGGATGCACCGTGCGTCGGTTCCTGGAGAAGATTCCGGATCAGGCAGCTAGTGGGGCACCTGCCGAGCATCGTACTAGACAGGGCTCTGCATGTGTAGGGCGAATCCTGTAGCTATGCCTCAACACCTTGAACGGAACCCTAATCAATTTGTATGGCTTCTACTAGGCCCTGGGTCTCTATGAACTGTGGAGATGCTCACATACTGCGCTACACATTTGTCTCCAAGGATGAATGGTTAGACAAAGGTGGTGGAGGCGTTACCGATAGAGATCTTTACAGGCTGTCCTAGGGATTATTGGAGGATTTTGCCATCCCGTGAGGAGGATCGATTGGAGCCACAATATGCAAGGGTCTTCAAAGCCGAGTCTCGAGGTACTCACATTCTCGGAGGCTGTGTCCCAGTCGCATAGCTCTGCGGCTGCGCAAAGTATGTTCCATCAGGACTAGCCGTCTTGCATGTGCTTCCACGTTGGTTCCGTCGCCTTGGGTGTCCTTTTCGGACGAACGACGGTTTTGTCACTTTACACTTGCTATATGATTGGTTCGCAAGGGACGGGACGTGGCGCGCAACACAGGAGATGAAATCTTCGCTTCCATGTGCGAGACTCGTTTACTCAGATAGTTTTCAGGTTTGCAGCGTTACCAGTATCTTGGGAAAGGAACGCAACATCCTCGGCACGCTGTTGAGCGGGCTGAATCCTATTCGAACATGGTCTCGATGTTGAACGCTGTCAGGTCCGCGGGTCATATAAAAACTTCAAAAGTATCACTTTTCGTGTGACTTCGACCGAGTTGTTTTCGAATTGAACGCCAGTCTGAATTCCCATTATGGCAGTACCCGCTTTTCCTGCACCAGACATGTCTGGTGTTGATCCAGGACTTCAACCTACGCTCATCGCATTATTATACCTCTTCCCAGGATTTGCTCTTGCGGTGCTTCTGGTTCGATTTTGGAGGAAGTGGCAAGACCATATCCTTGGCGGAGGTATGGGGACGTGGCTACAGTGGCTGGTCTATGCTGATATCTTTGCAGACGACGTTCTGATCGCCATCGCGTGGGCTCTAGCATTGTCCAATAGCGTGATTACCCACAAATGTAAGACTCTTGTCCACCTGGGCAGATAACGACCTTGGAAAGTTCGAATGCCTGACGCTTATGGAGTTTGTGTCGCGATGTACACCGGATACCACGATGAAGATGTTCCGTATCCAGCAATCGACTTCCTTAATGCATTCAAGGTACGTTCGTAAAACGTGTGTGCTGCAACTTACCCATATACTGAGGGACTTACTCACAGCTTAAGTATGCGTTGAGTCTCGTGTACTCACCATGTATCGGCTTCGTCAAAGCATCCTTCTTGTGGACGCTTTACAAACTTCGTTCAAACAATGTTTGGATCAAGCGGTGTATCCTCGGCCTTCAAGCGATCAACACCATTTTTATCGTTGCTTTCACGATACTTGCTGCAATACCCTGCTGGCCGATAGCGAAGAACTGGCAACCCGACCTAATTGGGGGTTGCTACGATCCTCTAGATTACATCCTGGCCAACATCTCGATCGTACTTATCACCGATGTTCTAGTTCTTCTGTAAGACTTTCTAGCATGCACCAAACAACCGATGCTGACATTGCATCAGGATTCCGACATGGATAATCTGGGACTTGCAAATGCCACTCAAGCGCAAGATTGTTACAGTATCGTTTCTCTCTCTCGGTCTCATCGTAATAGCAATCGGCGCCGTGCGATTCGTTTGGCTCATCGACGCTTTCAAAGGCAAAACAAAAAGTTACAGTGTCAAAGCGTCCTACTCTGCAATCGAGTCTAGTGTCGCTATCATTGGAACCTCGGGGCCAACTATCAAATACATACTGTCACGCTTCATACCCTGGCTCCGTCCTTCATTTGAGCGCTCAAACGCGAACAAGAACTCATACGACGCCTATGGGAACCACTCAAATGTTGCTGCTAGGCGAGCGAGGTCACACTACGGGACGAAAAGTGGATATGATGATTTGGATATGGTGAGCGTTCACCATGAACAGTTCGAGATGAAGAGCGGTTGGCAAAAGAAGAAGGGGCAGGATGACGACGCAAGAAGCGATGAGCAGCACATCACAGGCGAAGGTCACGGCATCAACAAGACAGTGGAATGGATGGTAGACACGAAAGAGCGCTCGCATATTAGCAAAACAGTCTCGGATGATCCAAATGTCGCTAACGACAAGCCTGCGACAAGTCCCGCACAAATCATCTAGGCTGGGGGTGTATTGGGGCAGCAAGAATATTACATACATGGCGAGTTCTGCTATGAGTATAGCTTTGATGCACCGATTTTCCTAAGTGCACGTTTGTTGAAGAGACGAATTTGCGATGTGAAATGAGTCCGCTGTTGGGCGGCGTTCGGCTGCAGCTGACCCGCGCTCGCTGCCGGTCTTGTTTCCGGATCTTGGGGCGCGGTATACCCGATTCGGCGACTTCCCCTCAATCTCAATTGCCTGGCCCGCAGTTGGCCGAGCCATAAGACGTTATCTCCACCGATACTGGGCATTGCAGATATCTGAACAATGTCGCGGATCAATGGAGCTGAAGTAGCAAAGCACAGCAGCAAGAAGGATTGCTGGATAGTGCTGGATTCAAAAGCGTATGATGTAACCAACTTCCTGGCGGACCACCCAGGTGGCGCACCGATCATCTTGAAGAATGCCGGGTCGGTGAGTACAATGGCGCTGCTCAAAGATCAAGAGCTGATGTTAGACAGGATGCGACAGAAGAGTTCAAGAAATACCACCCGTTGAGTTATCTGGAGGATTATCTGCCTAAAGATGCCTTCCTCGGTCCCGTCGACCCCAACACGTTTGGTCAGCTACGCCAGATTAAGAGCGAAGAGTCGACGAAGCCGTCTGACACCGATCCAAACTCCAAGGAAATCCCACATGTGAGCCTTTGCGTCTCCACGACCGACTTTGAGGCAGTGGCAAAGGCTGTCATGCCTCACAAGTCGTATGTCTATGCGTCCGGTTCTGCAAACACTGGCGCGTCGATCAGAGGCAACATAGATGACTGGGGGCGCATCAACTTCCGTCCGCGTGTGATGCGCAACGTCGGCGATGTAGACACGCGCCGCAAGATATTCGGACACAGCTCGCCATACCCATTCTACATCTCGCCGATGGGAACGATGGGCGCCATTCACGAAGCTGCCGAGCCAGAAATGATCCGGGGCGCAGTGCGCAAGGGCATCCACAAAGTCGTCAGTACTGCAAGTTCAAAGAGTAGTGAGCAGATCATGCAGAGCTACAAAGATGAGCAGCAGAGGCTTGGAAACAACAGCACAACACAATTGTTCTACCAATATTACATGCCTGTCGACCGCAACAAGGCTATTGAACTCATGCGCATCGTCAAGCGGTGCGGTTATAATGGACTGTGGATAACAGTCGACACGCCTGTTCTTGGAAAACGAACTGCGGATCGCTATCTCCAGGCTGAGGAGGCGCTAGCAGTCGGGCTCGCAGAAGAAAGTACAGCGGAATGGGAGACCGGCGGCGACAACGCTTTCGCACCCGCTATGGGTGGACGGCCAGTTCAGGGTCAGTTGAGCCCACATACGACCTGGGAAGATCTCGAGTGGATTCGCAAGGAGTGGGATGGTCCAATCGTGCTGAAGGGCGTGCAGTGTGCGGATGATGCGAAGCTTGCGATGGATTATGGCTGTGATGGGATTCTTTTAAGCAACCATGGCGGCAGGCAACTGCATACCGCGCCGAGTGCTCTTATGACGTTGCTGGAGATTCGAACGTACTGTCCAGAAGTCCTGGGGAAGCTGGAAGTTTTCCTCGATGGCGGTCTGAGAGACGGAAACGATGTGCTAAAAGCATTGTGTCTAGGCGCCACAGCCGTCGGCGTAGGGAGACCCTTCCTATACGCGCTTGGTGCGTATGGGTCGAAAGGCGTCGAGAGATGTGTTGACAGTAAGCTTGCTCGTGTTTTAATCAGGGTAGTATACTGACGTGCGACAGTTCTTGCGGATGAGCTGCAGACAGGTATGCGGTTGTTGGGCATAACATCACTGGATCAGTGCAGGCCTGAGATGGTTAATGCGACGCGTCTACTTAATGAAATGTGGCGACCAGAGCAGCTGAGTCTGAAGAGCAAGCTGTAAAGGTAGGGTGTGTTGGTTACGTGGGTCATAGTTCCAAGTTTCAAATTTTGCGAGCGAATGAGATGGAATTTGGATTGGACACAGCGAATATTACCAGTCCAATCAATTCAAAGACTACACTTGCATGATTAATGGATCGTAGTCTGCCTTTCAGTGTTGTTACCGATGTCGCCGGCCCCGCCGCCCGCTGATGCAAAGTTTTCTTACCCCTCACACCCCACCCCACCATTCCGATTAATTGGATTATATAATTACAATTTCGCGATTTTTCCATCAAAAGCAGTAATCCTGATGGGACAGATGGCCGTAAGTCTTAGCCAGCATCTTCTGCAACATGGCAAATACTAATAATCCCCATAGGAGCTGGTTATGGCGCCAGGTTAAGGTTTCTTAACGTTAAGTCTACGGTAATTCATTACCTCCAAGACATCCTGGTCACGAAAGTGGCGTGGGTTCGAGTCCCACTCTGTTCAGCATTCGTCTGGCATTGTCAGATACTCCAGGATACATTTTTTTTGGTGTTTTGGGCGCTGAGCGTTGGTCACTAAGCCCATGCTCTGACACCCTCCCACCCACTCTCTTCCTATCTAGATGAAGAGAAGCATTGCTTTTTGTACTCTGATATCGATGAGGATGCTATTAAGACTTTGTTTGTAATTGCGTATAGTGCATGTATATGTTGCGCTGTCACAGAGCTTGCGCAGTCACTTCGTGTCTTATCACGTCAGGAAGAACTCGAATCGGCACGCAAATCGTTGCATAGAAGGCTTCGTAGAGCCTGCATCGCTGATACAGTTGAATATGATATTGTATTGCAATTCAAATGTTGGTATATCTCACTTTTTCGCAACAGCGACAAGCGCGACACAGGGAAAACCCTCCACCTCAACCACACTCGCACCCTTCTGTCCATTCAAAGGCCTCTGGATCTTCACCGCTGCCTTCTTCCCAGCATGATTTAACTGCTTCGCGAACTCCTCGTTCTCTTCATCAGTCCACGTTGGCCCCATATTCTTCCACATACCAAGCATATAGCCGCAAGTCTCCTCCGCAGTCTTCGATGCATAGTATACTGTCTTCTCGTACATCTCAACATCTTTGAACCCTGCGCCCTCCATGATCTTCTTCATATGCGAAGCTTCGAACCACTCATCCGCAACAGGCCAGCGGAATAGCGGGTCGTCTGGTTTGACGGCTCTCTGCGCTTCATGAACAACAGCCATGTGGCCTGTAGACTTCCAGGTGGTGACAACAGCCGTTCCTCCTGGCTTAAGAGTGCGATAGATCTCCGCTGCACCCTTTTCTCCGTCAGGGAAGAACATGATGCCCATGTTGGTGATAGAGTGCGTAAAAGTCTCGTCAGGGAACGTCAGGCTGACTCCATCCATCACGTCGAAGGACAAAGTTGCCGCGGAGGATGTAGCTGGAAGGGCTCGGCGTGCTAGATCGACCATCGGTTTCGCATTATCGACGCAGGCTGCCTTGAGTGGAGTGTCTGGGTATCTGTACAAAAGCTCTTGCGCAGCTATACCATTTCCGCATGCATTATCTAGCACGACGGAATTCGAATCAACTGCGGGCAACATGTCGATGAGGTGTATAGCAACTTCGCGGGTGCAGCCACCGGTTGCAGCCTCATAGGTCGAAGCAAGCATCTCGAACATTTCGCTGGAGTTCATGCTGGGCTCGCTCATGATGATGATGGAGTCTTCGCTATTGTATTTCGAACGATACTATCCATTAGATACCAGGTCAGCAAGGTACTTATACATGGCTTACTGCGGACGAAGAAACTAAGAGCGAAGGATTGTGGCTGGGGCGGGGGTAGACGAGGATACACGTAACGATAAGTACGCCCGGAAATCCCCATATTTCTTGTTGAACTGAATTGACGAAGGGCTCTGAGCCGGAGTTCTCCAAGAAGTGTCTGGATTTCCTTTTGGGTAGGGCCTCGGAGCTCGGAGACTTTCACATGCACTCTGGGGCCTGGATAAAGTCGCCGACTGCGGCTTGAGTCGTTGCGCATTCCTTAGAGAAAATAAGCTAGATACGGATGTAGTACGCTTCGTGGTTGTTCTAGCTGCATTGAGAAGATACAAGGTTGAAGATGACTGCGTTTGACGCTAAACGTGCTTACCCACCCATCCACAGTAAATGCCCGCATCTGCTTCGCTATTCTACCTCAGTCTGTACTGTCAGTCCTCGGATGATTCGGACGACACCAAGAATTTCGGGCGTATGCTTACACCCCATCTCAGATTTTTGCATCCTCTTTGAACCTAATTAATCCATCCTGGGAGGTCGTTGCAATATGTACGCCACTCTTATAGTCCCACATACGGCTATTATGTAGTGCTCTGCCTCCCGTAGCTCGAGTAAGCCACGCTTCTTGCACAAACCATTTTCGTCCGTCCTTATCGCCGCCCTTATGCCCCTCCAGATTACAGAGTGGTAGCGGACCATCTTCCCACAATGTCCTGTCGGCGTTCGGATGATCAATTCGCGGTTCATTAGGCATGATGAGGTCCTTGATACCGACATGGAAGATGACGCTGTGAGATAGTGACGCCATGCGTTTGTAACCCCGAGGCCGGTCGAGATGGTTTGGCACAATGAATAGCGAGTTACGATCCGATGCGTACAAGTGTGCACAGGCGTGCATGTTAGCCTCTCGTGTCAATGTGAGCTTCTGCTCGGATCCCGAGGGAGGTGGATATGGTGCGGTTGGTAATGGAAGTGCACCGCGTAGCGTGTAGAAGGTCAGTTGCTTGCGATCGAGTGGATGCCGACTCTGATTGTACTTCGACATGTCAGCCTTGCGGATGTGCAAGCCGGCGATGGGGTTAAAGTGGTCGGGATGAGCTGGAAGGTAAGTTTCCCGGAAATGCTGCAGAGGTAGGAGTACGAAGTTAGTAAATGTCTCACATCCACTTCGTACAAGTAGAATTACCTCGGAATCATTGCTTGGAGCAGCCGCATGCTCCATTGGCTCGTCTTCTTTGCCTTCTAGTGCGTCGCGATACACCTCTTTCAGGTCAACAGACTCTTGCATGTCGAATGGTGAGCTTTCTTCCCGTTTGAAAGAGCAGGTACAGGTAAACATATCTCCGTCGGCTGCAACCTGGCTTACGGTCACATTTCGTGTGCAATAATTGTAACCGTCTCGAATCTTTCGCACACGATAGGTGTAGTGTTCATCAGGCTTGCCCCCTAGTACAAACCACCCGGTAATGTTCTAGCATTTTGTTCAGTTGTGGTTGGAGCAGAACTGTCGCTAAAGCTTACATGTATGAGAAATCCTTCTGCGACAGTCTGTGCAGCAGCCCATGCGGCTTGCGCAAACACGTGGCCGCCGTACGTCCCATTTTCACCACCAGTCGGGGAGTAGGCTTTGACGATGGAGCGGAATGTCCAGTTGTCAATGCGTTCGAGTGCGATCACCCTTTCGAATGGCAGCACCTGCTTGTCAGGTGTAAAGTAGGGACGCACGACCATGGCAGCGACTACGATGTCTGAAATGATGTAGAAATACGCTGATGCTTGATAGAGGCCATCATCATATTGGGCAGATGTTGCGATGTGCAGCTGGTACACAGATGTGGCTGGCGCTAATGAGTTACCTCGGAACGGGCGGGGTTCGGATGAATGACGGCGCAAGCTATCAACCTCCACTAGTGCAATCAAGCCACACGCGCTTCGCGTGAGACGCGATGGAACCTGCTCCTCATGTGGTGCTATAACGAGCATGCGTGGCAAGAATATGTACATGTTATATCGCCTCCACCTCATCTTCCAGCCCTCTTCTTTAGCACCCATAGCCGGCTGAAGTAAAATACAAGACCGCAAAGCCATATTCCTACAAGGATCGCTGCCTGAATCGGTGCAAATACAGCGCCTCTGACTACGACGAAACCACTGATTATGGCGAACAGTATAGGGATGAGGATGAACGGCTTCACGGGTCGCGGTAGATCGGGCTCACGGAATCGCAAAATGATGGCACCAAGAACCGTGAGGAAGAAGAAAGCATACTCAGCAAGGCCATTGAGAGTAAGCAAGATGCGCATGTTTCCGAGCAGAATGTATACCGCTGAGAGAACGGTGTTGAGTATGAGAGCATTGCTAGCAGTTGTTAGCAGGAGATGATCGGACGTGACGGCCTACATACATTGGTGACTCTCCATCATCCATAGCCGTGTCAGCTGCCTCGCTCGAATCAGCGCGTTTAGTCACCTTCAGAGTACCGACGCGACCGACTGTGCCCAGAATTTGCGGGAACCAATTGTTGTTAGATGCTGCGACGGTCATCCTACCAGCCACGAAGGAGTTTCCTAGGGCGGAGCCTGCAATGACGAGACATATGAGCGCGGTAGCGAAGTAAGCTACTCCCTTGCCGAGGAAGTGGGTAACAGCCGTCTAAGACATATCAGTATAAAGGTGTTATACATGACTCTGAAGGACTTACTACAGCAGCAGCATCTGTTGTCGACACAACCTTCCAAGGGAGAAGAACGTAGTAGACAGCGTTGGCGGCGACATAGCATACTATGATTGTGGGTATAGCGGTATTGATGGAAAGTGGTAGTTGGCGACTGGGTTGACGCAGTTCTGCCGCGACGTAATTCGCCTTGTCCCAGCCAGAGTACGCCCACAAAGCTCCGTACAACGCTGTGCTGTAGAAGCCGAGTGACTCCCACGTAGTCACTTTCGTCCAATCGAATCTCGACCCATCGGGCAGTATCGTGTCTCTTGGAGAAAACCAATTGTTTTGATGCCAATCGCGACCTCCAAGGTCCTTGCTCTTTCCGACAAAGACAAAGACGACCACTAAACCAGACACGATAAGGAGAAAAATGGTAAGCAGCTTTATGGCGACGAAGAAACTAGACAGTCGAGTACTTGTCTTGGTGCTAATGGAGTTCATTGTCGTTACAAATACTAAGACAAGTAGAGACAATAACTTGTGGGTGAGGGGCGGATCTGGTTCGTTCACGCCCAAACTGGAGTAAATGGACTCCACAAATACTATGCTGAGGATAGCAAGGGTAGCAGGCATGGTTGCCACTACCCAAGACCAAGCAGCCATGTATCCAAAGACGTCGCCATAGATGTAGGTGAGATAAGGTTGGATTCCGCCTTCTCCGGGGAATGCGGTACCCAATTCAGCCATTGTCAAAGCACCTGTCCATGCTAAAACTCCACCAACCAGCCATACGAGGAGTCCAGCACCAGGTGACGGAACGTTCGCATCGATAGGCCCAGGCGATGAAAACACTCCCGAGCCGATGACGATGCTTATCAGCAGCGCGAACCCATCCAGCGCACCAAGATTGCGAGCAAAGGTGTTTCGCGTCGCCGTAACGTCATCGTGTTCTTCGTCCGGGGCATACGATGTCGTGGATTCTTGGCGGAGTAGAGGCGCAGTCTCTGAGGGTGTCATTGTCGCGTTCTCGAGTTTCAGGGGTTTGATGAGTCAATCGTCGCTTTTGCCGAGGTTGTCACGCGCCACACGCGTCAACGTGATGTGTGTAGGACGCGTCCGGTCCTTCTTGGGCCGCAGGAGTCGCAATTCCTTATTGTCTGGTGCTGTCTGAGCTAGAGCAACTAACACCCAATGCTGTGGTTGTGTGAAAGCAAAAGGTGGCTGGCTAAGCCGCGCGACACTATCGCGTCAGGATGAACCGAACTTACGTCATCCCCTTTCCCCACCAACCGCCGCGGCATCGAAATCTGTGACTTCACATTGCGGTCTTTGCAGGATCAGAATCCCACAGTTTTTCAGAGGCTCCACTTCATCCGTTCTTCTCTGTATCGTTATGCATAACGTCATACGGCATATTCACGGCCTGGCAGCTTTCGTTTTCCCGATTCTGGAGCTCGAGACTCTGCAGCCAAGGTTCTCGCCCAGGCCCGTATTACGCGTGTTGAGTGCATCTGAAAACCAATTATTGCGTGGATTGAAAAGCCAAGCAAATATGTACACTTTGCAAGCTTATTTGTAGGTGTAGCTCGATGTGAGCCCTTCTCGATATGTGTAGCGCCGGCGGCATCAGCGAAGGAGCTCAGAGCCTTGACAAGACTAACGACCTGGTCTGTTTTCACTACAGGCCATGGTTCACCGTTAATGTGTATTGCCTTCTCTTTCGCAGAGCATAATTCATAACAGACAACATTGACGGCAGAACCGATGAAGGAGTCCGATGTGTGTCTGTGCACGCCAACTCAGGGAAAAACTGAACAGCCTGGAGCCTACGTTGACGTTGGGTCACCTACTTTGCAAGGTTATAGGTCAATGTAGTCTACAGACATGTTCACTTTTTTGTATAAGGTGTGCGACCATGTCTGAGGGGTAGAAGACCAGCTCATGAGCGACGATGAATGTTCCATGCACCGCGACGATATCGGCCTGCTTCCGTAGTGGCAGCGACGAGACGACAGTCATGGTTAGCACATGGCGCACTTGTGACATTTACAGAAACCTGTTCCCGCTCACGCTCACATGGGAAATCGTGGGGAGGTTAAGCTTAAATTCATAGTGCGATGACAGACCAATGACGCTGAGTGGGTTCGTCGGCTTTGTCGGCCCTTGCAGGCTTAGCGGGCTGTATAGGGCTTAGCGCTGCGCATCATCATGGCGACGTCATTCTTGGTGAGCATGCAGTTTGCTTGCAGCTGCTTAAAGCTCTGGATCCCTTGTCGAACTTTCCTCTATCACACACTGCTTTCTTGCAAGATACCCCAGGCCTTATCAATTGCATTCAGGTCTCTTTCTCAAATTCATTGACTACACAATCACCTTCATACCTAACCATGTTCTCGAGACAAGCAACTCAGAATGCGCGCTTTGCAGCACGGTGTGCTCGCCGCCCAGCTGCGCGGGTAGCCAACCCTCAGTTCCGCGCCCAGAAGCCCCGCTTCCAGTCCACCGAGTCAGCAACCTCCGGCAACGCGGGCGCCGGCTCACATGCCGCCATCGGTGCCGCTTCTGGTGCCCTTGCTGCAGTCACCGTCGGCTACATCTTCTACAGGCAATCAGGCGCCCGTGAAGTTGTGGTAGCTTCCAAGACTGCCAAAGGCTACGTCAGCTCAGCTACACAGAAGATCAAGGAGCAGACACCTGAACCCAACGAGGCGCTGCAATGGCTACGCAACGCCGCGCAGAGCTACGCAGCCTTCATCCCCGGCGCCAAGGGCTACGTTGATTCTGCATTCGATGACCTCGATGCCATTCGCGCAAAGCACGGCAAGGAGGTCGACCAAATCGTCACCGAAGCATACGATGAAATGCGCCAGGTCCTCGGCAATGGCGACATGAGCCTTGTTACCGCACACAAGACTTGGGACGTCATTACCAAGCACATGAGCCGCATCGCAGATCTCGCTGGCGACGCGTCGCAGCAGATCATGGACAACCACCCTCAACTAAAGGAGAAGGTCGGCGGTAACATCGACAAGCTCAAGGAGTACGGCGACAAGTATGGTCCTGAGGCCAAGAAGGAGGTCGATAGAACATGGAAGCAGATCAGCGACGTCGTCAAGACCGGCGTGAGCGCATCCAACATCGAAAAGATCCGCAGCATCGTACAAGAAAAGGTTGACAAGCTTAAGAAGATGGGTGACGAGGCCTGGGACAAGGGTATGGAGCAGGCTAAGCCCTACCTTGACAAGAACCCTCAGGTCAAGAAGATTGTGGAGGAGAACGCAGATGCGCTCAAGGGCGGAAACGTACAAGAGCTGTACGAGCGCGTCAAGTCTGCTGTCGAGAAAGGCGACACAGGAGACCTCGAGTCATACGTCAAGAGCGCTGCCAACAAGGCTAAGGATGCTGGTTTCGGTGACTACGAACAATACCTCAAGCAGATCCCTGGAGGCGACCAGATCATGCCCAAGTTGAGCCAGCTCCAGGATGTTGCCCAGAAGCACGGCGATGAGGCTCAGAAGCTCTTCCGAGACACCGTCTCAGAGATCTCCAGCATCCTCCAGAAGAAGGGAGATGAAGCGTCAAAGTTGGCCGAGAAGGCGAAGGAGGACTCGAAGAAATAAGGTTGTCAGAAGCATTCTCATCTGGAATCCTGAAGAGTGTCACGATTAGTCTACTTGTATAATAAGGCATCACTGGCGTTGAGCATGTTGAGCGAAAAGTATAACGAATTCTACATAATTACGTTTGATCCTGTACTGTTCGTCTCATTCCATGTCGTGGTGATCTCACCTTGGGCTAACTACTCGAACCATACTAGATCATCCGCACATGTGCCATAAAGCAGCGAGTGATGTTAACACGATCTTCTGGTCCTGATGAGTAACAATCTGGTCAAGGGTCTTGTGTAGAAGTTCGGCGAGCAGGTTTCATTAGAGAAAAGTGAATATCGTATTTCATCATCGTAGTATGACGCGGTCGACAGATGATTTCACAAGTGAGTTCCTCTGACGACACGAGTTGTCTTGCGCAGCTCTGTAGACACCACGTGAGACGTGGCATGCGTACCAGGAACTCGGTATGTACACTTGCCAGGCCCGCGCAAGAACTCATACCAGAACTTGCATCGAGCCCTGGAGTGATAGCATCTTGTTTAGATCGTCATCACATGCGCCACTCGATCACACCCAAGTGGTGAGGCTGCAGTGAGACATGGGCGGGGATGCAAGCCCATCACTGCCTATATGCAGGAACTACTTACTATGCACACCGCATACCGTCTTGGGTTCTGGAATCCTCTATGCGGGGTGAGGTGGTCAGCGCGATGGTAGGTTGGACAAGACGTAGGCTTGCGGCAACATGTCATTCAATGCAGTAGCTCGCAACCTAAAGTAAATCGTAGGCGGTGAGACGAGCGCGAAGAAAGTACGATATTCATAGTAAAAGACATGACACAAGGCGAAATGCGTATTGTTAGGTTGCCGACAAGGTTGTTGCCAAACGACCCCGCGATCCGCTAAGGAAGTAAAGTGGGTCCGAGGTGAAAGAAAGTGGTGAGAGAAGCTGCGACCGCGACGTTCGTCCGCCCAATAGACCGGGCACGCTCCACTCGGTCAGCCAATGACGTAAACGCGCCTCCGCTGCTGCACCGCCCTCCCCTGACACCTGGCAGGCGCTACTACTCTATTTACTCCTCTCTCTCTCAACAAAACCCCCAGCTTCTACTACTTCTCACTCCAATTCTCCACTTCTCTCTACCAAACCCCTTTCTTGCACGTCGATCGACACCACTACTACTCCTATCCACCCAACTACTACACACTACACAACCGCAACCATGGGCAAGGTACGCGTTCCTGTGCTAACATGTACCCCGCCAGTACCCCGCTAACACGTGCATAGGCGAAGTACATCATGCTCGACTGCGACAACACGCTCGTCCAGTCTGAGCGTTTCGCGTTCGAGGCCTGCGCCGACCTCACCAATCAGGTCCTCGAGAAGCACAACATCTCCGACCGCTACACAGCCGAGTCATTGCTCGAGGACTTTGTCGGCCACAACTTCCGTGGCATGCTCAATGGTCTGCAGAAGAAGCACAACTTCAAGATGGACGACGCCGAGATGGAGGACTTTGTCGCGCAAGAACTCGGAGCCGTGACCCTCAAGCTCAGCCAGAAGGCCGTCGAGTGCCCCGGTGTGACTGAGCAGCTCAACAAGCTCAAGGAGCAGGGCTACCCCATGTCCGTTGTCTCTACTTCCGCCAAGAGCCGTGTCGTCGCCTCCATCGAGAAGGCCGGCATCGCCCACTTCTTCCCTCCCGAGCACGTCTACTCCGCCGCCACCTCACTCGACCCCCCTTCATCCAAGCCCGACCCCAAGATCTACCTATACGCTGCTGAGCAGCTCGGTGTCAAGCCCTCCGAGGCTGTCACCGTCGAGGACAGCAAGAGCGGTGCCACTGCTGCCATGCGCGCAGGCATCCCTTGCATCGGCTACGTTGGCATCTACGGCATCGAGGAGGGCAAGGAGAAGATGGAACAGATGGCCAAGCTCCTCACCGAGGAGACCAAGTGCGCGGCCATCATGTACGACTGGAAGGAGTTCCCAGAGTGCCTGAAGAAGGTCGAGGCCAAGTTGTAAGTGCTTGGTCAACACTGGGGAGCCGAGGAAGAGGAACATTTCACCCTGTCTCCCCGCCATTGCGGGTGAGCTTACGATCAGATTCACGACATCAATGACTACATAGATTCAGTAATGAAGATTTAGTGGACACAGTCCCATTCACAACTGCTA